GGTGGGGTGGAGTTGAGGTGGGAGTGGAAGTGCGGTAGAGTGGAGGCGGGGGAAGGGGGATGGTATGGGGTGGAAGCAGAGGTGGGAGGAAGGCGGGTGGGTGGGAGATGATGTTCTGCATGCACGTTTGATAACCGCTCTCAGCCTGTGTGGCACGGGTCGCACGCCATAGCTTCTGTGTAGAGTAAATGCTTGACCGCACGCTTCGCATTACGCGGACATCGCGATTGTCTCACGTTACGGCGGTCAAGTTATTCGATAACTCGCCTTAGCAGCGGCGGCTAGCTGTGATGATGGATGTACGGGGACAGTAACCAAAGATGTACATAATCAACGACGAGCTATGACTAACGAGCGAGGTTCGCGCGTATATGACGGCCTAAATATTATATCAAGAGCATATAAAGAAGGCCTAGCACATATAAGTATATATAAGAAGCCTTCTTTATATGCTCTTGATTATATATATTTATTTCTAGTGCGAGCGAGAGAATGCGCGAGGAAAAAAACCTTAATGCTGCTTCTGCTGCTGCTGCTGCTGCTGCTGCTGCTGCTGCTACTGCTGCTGCTGCTGCTACTGCTACTGCTGCTGCTGCTGCTGCTGCTGGTGTTGGTGGTGGTGGTGGTGGTGGTGCTGCTGCTGCTGCTGCTGATGATGATGAGGATGATGGTGCCCCCGCTCCCGTCACGCAAACATTCTGTGCGTTTTATGATATCTAGCGTCGTTATAGACGGCTGTGCTTCGCGAACATGAAGTAAATAACGAGAGTAATTGCATTTCAACTTGCGCCTACGCATCGGCGGTGAATCACGCGCGAGCTGCAAACCGTCAGTGTCGCCACGCGCCTGACGCCACTCTCGCTTCGTTCGAATCATAGCTGTCCACATCCATCCATCGCGGCGATGAAACAATTTAGAGGTAAAAACACGCGATTCAACTGTCGCGTGGGCGATGGAATAAACCGAACGAGCGAAAGATTTTAATCACGCTCATTAATCATGTTTTAATGTTTTGACATAATAGTTGATCTTAAGATTGGGATACATATGCTGGTTAACGTCGCAACACAGCTTTGCAATGGAGCGAACTGTACATAACATTCGGCGCTTAGATGGACGCCAGACGAGAAGAGAAGAAGGGGAAGACCCAAGAAGACCTGGAGAAGGACCATCGAGAAGGAGATGCACATGTGTGACCTGTCATGGGACACGCTGACGCCAGTAGTAGCGGACCGACGACGTTGGAGATCTCTTGTCACTGCCTTATGTGCCATCTAGGCACCTATGAGGGATAACACACAACACTCGATGTTACTCACCACGATTTTCTTACGACTATATCCAAAGACGCGCTCTTCGTACGGCGTGAAACGTATTAGCGTGAAGAATGTCGTTCCATCTACGCGCACGCCTGCACTACATTAACCTACGAGACGCGCGGTCCATCCGTTGCTATCTCCCCCGAAATCACCGCGTGCTCCAGTGACGATGAACCGAGAATATTCTCTGTAGCTGTCGATGCCACGGCATCCACCACGCACACGCACGCACAACACGCTCATGCACTCGTGGTCGCTGGCAGAGGAGTGCGGCTGCGGCAGGGCGGAGCAAGTAAGGCAGGCTGGCGCGAGCGCACGTGCACGCGTACACAACCCCGGCTCAGCTGTAGCGGTTGCGCGCGGATGCTGCGCTGTGGTAACCCACATTCGCTCCGCATCTCCCATCATCCCTCAGCATCCCTTGGCATCCCTCTGTATTACAGCATCCCTCAGCATCCCTCGGTATAACAGCATCCCTCGGCATCCTTCAGCATCCCTCAACATCTTCCACGCGGCATCCTTATCAGTCATCCTCAGCATGCCCTCTCGCATCTGCCGGCGAGCTCATAGCGCGATATATAGATCGCTCATCGTGCCTGGCCTCTGCGCAGCAGCGGAGACGTCATATCTTACACCTGCACGTTATATGTTCTCATGTATTATCTATATTTGCTATCATCCTGGCGCTCGCCCCCCCCTCTCTACTCTCTCTCGCGCGCGCGTCTCTCTGCCTCTTCCTTCCGCCCTCTCTCTCGCATCTCTTCTTCCTCTCGCGCTCTCTCTCTCTCAACACCATACACATCACGCACACACACATACATACACACACACACACACCAGCACACACACACACACATCACACCCCACCACATTACACACACACACACACACACATTCACACAGCAGCACACACACGACAGCACACCACACACACACACCCCACACAACACCACAGCACCACACAGCGTGCGCACACACACACACAGCACACACCCACACACACACACCACAACACAGCATTCACACAAGCCACACACGACACACACACCCGCAGCACTGCGCGGACACAGCAACACACACACATGCAGCACTTCTTCATCGAAGGATTTTACCTATACAGATTCCGTTCAAAGTCAGTGTAAGCTTACGCATTTGTTCGTTCGTATATACAGCTGGAGAGGCACGCCGAATTCAATAGAGAACAGCTTTAACCGCCTCGCAATATAGGCTAAAGAATAAGTGCACAAAGCTCGATCCGCGTTCTATGAATGGACACGCCGCTCGGCCCCGGATGGCGCTGGAGGGGTATATAGGTCAAATCACTCGTTAAGGTCAGCCGCTCGCAATTTTCTACTTCAGCATCCAGAGCCATCGCGGCGCCACTCTAACGGCAGAGATCGATATGTTTGTCGACAATATACCATATGACAAGCGATAAGATGTCGTTGCTGGGCGCAGGTTTGCTGATATAATGCATTTGAGTGGGTAACCTTAGGAATGATGTAAATCTGTATCTTCCTCGAATAGCGTAATAATGTAGCGTTCAACAATACGTAAATATGAGTGATAAAAGCCCATCAGTGATTTGCTCTAGGGTAGTCGCTATCTTGTGATGTTAACAATACTTTCGTCTACAACTAGCCATAATGCGGCCTTTATATAACCTTTAACTTCGCGAAGTCTTGATTAGGTTAAAAGCGTTTCTCCACAGAGTCGGAGTCAGAAAAACTTAATATGGATCCAAGCGAAAGTCGTTGCACATCGGCGACTGCTCGAGAGTTCATGCACACGGCTGGAGCATAAAGTCTGTACAATACGAGATCGCGAATATACTGTAATTTGGTATACGAAGGATGGAATGGATAGAGATAGGTAGAGAGCTGTATACATAGTGTCTTTCGCCTGCCCGCATACATGGGATCGGTGAGATGCGTCGATCCGACAACAAACCAACCACGACATAGAGGGTTTGTGAGTTCCTCTTGTCGAAGGATCGGGCGCGGGGCAGGAGGAAAAAAGCATTGGAGAAGGCGTGATGTTGACTTGATTGACCATGCACCGTGTCCACACTCGCCAGCAGCATCCTGCACGGGGGCGCCACTCGCGGAATAAACCAATATAGCTCTGTACTAGTGGGTAAGATTCTATTTATTATTTCCATTATTATTTTTATTATAATTATTATCATCAAATCTTCATTGCAAATAATTCAAATATAAGTGCATAATACGCATTTTGATGGGAGTCGGTGAGATATACCGCATGGGTTGCTTCGCGTTGATCTGAACCGATCTCACACGTTCTACAGAATGATCCAAAGTATGTTTCACCATCTACGTTAGACGATGTTACGCGTGAGACCTGGTTATAGGGAACCCTAGCTGGCAAATCTCTGTTAATCATTATAGCACTTAATTGCTTCTGGAAAACACAAACCTATCAGAGAGTATTATACACAGCAGATCTCCTGCGAAAGATGCAAATATGTGCTTGAACCCTCGCCAACATCTACGCAGGCCTCGTTTGAAGTGCAGTATCAATATTGACTACGGGAAATCCACGCCGTGTATTATTAATGGGTCCCCCCTCACCACCCAACACCCCCATACTTGATCCAGCATCCGGCAGCAGACGAGGCTTCTGTTTCGAGATTTATTCGGCCTCTCTACATAATGATATAGGTTAGGCTTCCCCATACAGCATCACATTATTTAACCTAACCTAACGTATAGCAGGCGTATAATATTTCACGCACACAGCCAGATACAGGCGCGTCAGGCAATTTATGCAGCTCTACAAGTGAGTCCTTCCCGCAGCAACCGACCTCATATCAACCTGAGAACATAATATAACATGTGTATATTGTGTTCTCGGATATCAACCAGGTTTCTATGGTCGCACGCTGACTACAGAAACAGATAGGAAACATAAATGGATTTCCTATCTACCTGTTTGACGCTATCGCTATGACGTAAGATATGACCGTGCGATCGAAGCGCCATGAGCCGACCAAGCCGCAGTAGTGACGTCATGGTACAGGCAATCATGGCGGAAATTTTGAAGTATTTAGCTAAACTTCCTACGCCTTTGACCGCTGTTACCTTGGTAGGGGTTGATTCTTTAATATCAAGTTTAAGTTATGTTATGTATATTTAGTTGGTACGTATTGCAGTGCATACGTGAGTGAGTACTGCCAGTTAATTCGTTTCTGCGTGCCGTGTTACAGCGACCGACTGACACTAGACTAGTGCCTACAGTTGACGCAGGCCTGCGGCAACTGTACTAGAGCTACTAGGGTTAGTGTTACTAGAGTTACTAGAGATACTAGAGTTACTAGAGCTAAGTAGGCCTATACTTTTAACTTTACAATGCCTGTAAGTTTTACCATGGCGTTTTGATGTTCTAGCAATAACGGGTGATGTAGGGTTTACGGTACGCGTAGATATTTTTGCTGTTAATGCCGTTTTGCTGTTTGTTGTTGTTGTTGTCTTTGGCAGTGTTATTTGGTAGTGGTAGTATACTAGTGGTACACGGCATTGGCTATCCTTGAACCCAACTGTACGCGGGCTATAGTTACTAGAGCAAAGGCCTACTCTACTCAAAACGAAAACAACAACAATGTCCAGCCATAAATATTTGGTACCGATCACAAAATTCTATGGTATCTGACTCACACAGTTTGAGTCACAGACACAGTGTCAGTACACCGAGCAGCAGCGTTTTCTTTATATTATAATAATGGTGGGTTCTTATAGTTAAATCTATAAATTGAAAACTACAATTTTTAATATAATTTCGTACAGTTTTAGGCAGAAATTTGTAGGGCCCAATTTATTGCTCAGCCTTCCTGGTGGCCTAACACGGCTGGGAGACAAAACGTCTATATACACCTACTTCGTTCAACGCGTGATCATTTCTTACAGCGATCTCCTTTCGCAGTGTACTTTAGAGTGCTCTTATCTACATTTCAGTAGTTTACAGTATCAACCAAATGTTATATCCTTCTTGTATGTGCACAGCATGTGCCTTTGCCTTCTGAGAGGAGAGTCTCATAGTGCGTGTAGGCGCTTGGTTTCCTGCTGATTCATACATGTGGCATGTTCTGGTTCACACTACTCGAAAAACCGCTGTAAACATTCACCCTAGTCCTTGTTCAACCCCGTCGCCACCAATCGGACTACGCTATATTACAGCAGTCATTGCCGGTAGGCTTGTTCCTTGTCTACTCCCTAAGCAGCAGATGGCGCAGCATATGCCAATAGGAACACCCTCACATATATATTATATATTATTATGCCAGCCTGTTTTAGATAGAGTAGACATATAGTAACTAATCCCTGTGTTCCATACAGATCGTCGGCGATGAAGGAGCGGGCACACTTGAACTCGCAAACCTGCTGCTGCAGCAAATAACTGATTATCATCTTAGAGTGTAAGCGTACACCTTCGATCTCTTCGATCTCCAAAACCTATATGCTAATTAAGTAATCGAGTTGGTCACTTAAAGAGCACAATTGTATGGGACACAAGGTGGTATCTTCTGGTGCCAGCTGTAGATGGCAAATAAACAAAACTTATCTAAAGAATGTAATAAATTGAGAGCTTTCAGATGTTTTCAGAAGAAATGTTATTGACTGGTATTCACATGCTATTAGCAGTTGACAATTGTTATCGTTTCAGTCACACGGCAACTCGACTGCCTCTGCCAGAAGATGGCGCTGCCTCCCGACCCAACTTCGACTTTGTAATTTTCCTCTTAGATATTACCAGAATGGAAAGGTATGGCTTTAGTTCTATTTCTAGCAGTAATTGTGAGATATGAATATAAGGTGCTGCACATCCTGGACCTGGTAGTTACACTTTACGTATATATGTACATATATAAAATATAATCAATAGTAATAAAGAAAATGTACGTATCTATGGTACATATAAAAAACTACACGTAATATCTATGATATTATGGATTGTGAATAAATTTTTGTGTTTTGTTTTAGTTTTAAGCAGACAGAAGAGGCGTTGCAGTATGTGGATGTGGCTTACTTTCATGGAAGGTCCTGTCTGATCGTCAATGGAGGTAAACTAAAAAAATTTCTAACAGTATAAAGCTTGTCATATTATTTCTCTTAATGATTTGGGTGACAATCTGTTCAACATATTTATACAATTATTTCTAACATTAACCTCTTGAACTTTACAGGGTTTTATCTGGGCAATTGTTTAGTACCTGATTTATCACGAATTCAATTGGGAAGAATAAACATGGCTTCCATTGGTCTCATTTCAGCGAAGAAACCTGATCGATGGGCCAACGACTACAGCATCGTTGAGGAGCTAGCAAATGCATACAACCTGCAGATCATCTGTTGTCAATTGGAGGTTAGTTTTATACATATACTACATGTTACGCGTATCGTCGGTTTACGTAAAAAGTGAGTTGATCAGGAGTATCAATCAGTAGGATTTCTTTCTGTACAGTTATATGTTAGTAAAAGCAAACCTAACCCTAATACCTAGTAAATTGATTTGAATTCGTTGTCGTTTGTGGAGATTTTCCCCAAGACGTTAGGAATTGACTGTTAGAATTAAAGTCATCTCTAGGCACGTAGAGCTGTGATGTGTTGCATGGAATGTACGTCGTGCGCGGAATGAGTAAGAGCATACCTGAGCATCCTCGACTCCTCTTAAATCGACTTCTCTTACCTTGCGGGTTTTCCCGAGACACGTTGCCAGAGATCTGTTTTCAGAGACAAATTATAATTAGTCCCAGCGCGCACTTTTTTCTCGTATATTGCACCGCTATACGCCACATATGAGAACCTTGTAACATTACCATGTGTCTATCAACCGTCTACGCGTCAACCGTCAATGAGAAAATTCACACACACGCACACACACTCTTCATCGAAGGATTTTACGTATACAGATTTCGTTCAAAGCAGTGTAAGCTTACGCATTGTTCGTTCCGTATATACACTGGAGAGCACCGAATTCAATAGAGAACAGCTAACGCCTCGCATATAGGTAAGAATAGTTGCACAAAGCTTCGATCGCGTTCTATGTAATACACGCGGTGCGGGCCCCGGAGGCCTGGAGGGTATATAGGTCAAATCATCTCGTTAAGGTCAGCCGCTCGGCATTTTCTAGTTCAGCATCCACAGCCATCTGCGCGCCATCTAACGGCAGAGATCGATATGTGTCGAATATATGACACGATAGATGTCGTTTGCTGCTCAGGTTTGCTGAATAATGCATTGAGTGGGTAACCTTAGGAATGTGGTAAATTTATCTCCTCGAATAGCGTATAATGTAGCGTTAAAATAGCGTAATAAGTGGATAAAAGCATCAGTGATTTGCTCAGGGTAGTCATATTGTGATGTAAATATTTCGTTACACTAGCCATATATGCGCCTTTATATAACCTTTACTTCGCCAAGTCTTTAGGTCTAAAAGCGTTTATCCAAGAGCGGAGTCAGAAAAACTAATTGGATGCCAAGCGAATAGCGTTGCACGGGACTGCTCGAGAGTTCTATGCACACGGCTGGAGGCAAAAGCTGTCATATACAGACGCGATATACTTGTAATCTGGTCATAAGATATAGAGGATGGATGGATAGAGATAGGTAGAGAGCTGTATACATAGTGTCTTCGCTGGCACCGCAATACATGGCATCGGGTGAGATGCGTCGATCAGCTACAACAACCAACCACCATGACGGGTTGTGAGTTCCTCTTGTCGAAGATCGGGGCGGGGGAGGAAAGCATTGGAGAAGGCGTGATGTTGACTTGATTGACCATGCACCGTGTTCACACTCGTCAGCAGCACCCCGCACGGGGGCGCCACTCGCGGAATAAACCAATATAGCTCTGTACTAGTGGGTAAGATTCTATTTATTATTTCCATTATTATTTTTATTATAATTATTATCATCAAATCTTCATTGCAAATAATTCAAATATAAGTGCATAATACGCATTTTGATGGGAGTCGGTGAGATATACCGCATGGGTTGCTTCGCGTTGATCTGAACCGATCTCACACGTTCTACAGAATGATCCAAAGTATGTTTCACCATCTACGTTAGACGATGTTACGCGTGAGACCTGGTTATAGGGAACCCTAGCTGGCAAATCTCTGTTAATCATTGTAGCACTTAATTGCTTCTGGAAAACACAAACCTATCAGAGAGTATTATACACAGCAGATCTCCTGCGAAAGATGCAAATATGTGCTTGAACCCTCGCCAACATCTACGCAGGCCTCGTTTGAAGTGCAGTATCAATATTGACTACGGGAAATCCACGCCGTGTATTATTAATGGGTCCCCCCTCACCACCCAACACCCCCATACTTGATCCAGCATCCGGCAGCAGACGAGGCTTCTGTTTCGAGATTTATTCGGCCTCTCTACATAATGATATAGGTTAGGCTTCCCCATACAGCATCACATTATTTAACCTAACCTAACGTATAGCAGGCGTATAATATTTCACGCACACAGCCAGATACAGGCGCGTCAGGCAATTTATGCAGCTCTACAAGTGATTCCTTCCCGCAACAACCGACCTCATATCAACCTGAGAACATAATATAACATGTGTATATTGTGTTCTCGGATATCAACCAGGTTTCTATGGTCGCACGCTGACTACAGAAACAGATAGGAAACATAAATGGATTTCCTATCTACCTGTTCGACGCTATCGCTATGACGTAAGATATGACCGTGCGATCGAAGCGCCATGAGCCGACCAAGCCGCAGTAGTGACGTCATGGTACAGGCAATCATGGCGGAAATTTTGAAGTATTTAGCTAAACTTCCTACGCCTTTGACCGCTGTTACCTTGGTAGGGGTTGATTCTTTAATATCAAGTTTAAGTTATGTTATGTATATTTAGTTGGTACGTATTGCAGTGCATACGTGAGTGAGTACTGCCAGTTAATTCGTTTCTGCGTGCCGTGTTACAGCGACCGACTGACACTAGACTAGTGCCTACAGTTGACGCAGGCCTGCGGCAACTGTACTAGAGCTACTAGGGTTAGTGTTACTAGAGTTACTAGAGATACTAGAGTTACTAGAGCTAAGTAGGCCTATACTTTTAACTTTACAATGCCTGTAAGTTTTACCATGGCGTTTTGATGTTCTAGCAATAACGGGTGATGTAGGGTTTACGGTACGCGTAGATATTTTTGCTGTTAATGCCGTTGCGTTGTGCTGTTTGTTTGTTGTTGTTGTCTTTGGCAGTGATTTATTTGTAGTCAGTGCCGTCGAAATAATGCCGATAAAAAATGTGTTGTCCTGTAGCGACAACCCAGGCATCAAATCAGGTTGTCCCGCCAACACATCTTCCTGGTTGTCCCAAAAACAAATATCCCCAAATCTCCCTATTCTTCCAATCACATAATAATTACTGTCAGAAATCACCCAAAACACTGGTGTAGCCAGGATTTTTAACAAGGGAGCCAAAAACAGCAAATCGCCCAAACAAGTGGCATGACCTTAATATCGTAATGGCTTCTCCGCCTCCCTCTCCATCACCTACGGCTCCTCACTCTCTGCATCTTGTGTTATGGGTGGCCATGGCACAAGCGACATTTTGTTCATTGCTTCTCTGCTCCAGATATAATCTGTTCAGTAGGCGCTATTCATTGATTCCAGGAGGCGGGTTGAAAACAAGCAGCGGGTATGGGGCGTCCTCCCCAGAATATGTTGAAATGTAGAATCGCAGGGAGATGGTATTTCCCAGCACTTTTGAGTAACATGTACAGCCTTCATTATGACTACGACAATTCCTTTTATAAACTATCGGATTAAACATGAATCCCCACTGGATTGTTTGTTTTGCATAGGCGCAAACCATGCGAAAATTCAACATATAATGGAATAATACCAAAATTTAGCGGTGAACTTGCTAGGTTTTCTAGCGTTCCAAATCGAGTTCACCCTCTCATAAATAAAAAAAACCTGACATATACCAGTGTATGGAAATAGCACTTTGGGTATGCGCCTCTTGTCCACACCATAGCATCAATGGCGGGCTCCCAGGCTATAAGTGCTCTTAGAGCAACCCCTTGAAGAAAACACTAAATAAACTGCGTTTTTTCACCT